TTGTGCATCGTGACCTTCACCCTAGAAATATATTAATTAATAATTTAGCTCAAATCGCTTGATTTTGGACTTACCGGCCCAGCAGATATGACTTCGTTCACCTGTGGCAATCTCATACGTAATCATCCCGAAACTATAAATATCTGCAGCTTTAGTGTATGGTTTCCATTTAGTACATCTAGACTCATATAAGGAAGTACTCCGCAAATTTTTTGAACAGAATTTTCTATAGTAATGATCTCGTATTAGACATCTATAATGGAGTACGACCTATGATACCAAATACTGTTCCTAAATTATTAAAGTTTATTATTGAAAAATGATGGGATCCTATTCCAGAAAACAGACCAACTGCCAAGGAACTTGAAGACTTTATTTACTCTATCGAAGATATCGACTGGTTCAGAAACCCGAATACTTTGCATTTTCAGTACTACAGCTCCTTAGAATCTCCTAAAACAGATGAAAAAATTAAAGAGTGTGTTAAACTAGAAAGCAGAAATTGATAAGGAAATGGAATTACAAAGAGCATTCTTACGAGTACGAGCAAGAAACAAGAAATCCACTCAAACGCAGTTTACACCAGTCGAATGTTTACATCAAAATTAATTTCAATTACAACTGACGCAGGTACTTTTATTTTGAAATATAAATCATATAAACATTTCATATTAATTAAAGTTTATATCGAATGTTTAGGGTTGACAAGTGTCAGTTTGTTTGCTCCAAGCGATTTCGATTTGAGTATACCACATGAAATCAAAGAGAACGAAGAGATATCGAGTACCTTGCAAGAAAAACTACAAATTCAAGATGGAAAACCTCCAACAGAATAAGGCAATATCAAAAGAAAAATACTGCGCTTTATTGGAATTAATTACTTATCTATTACATTATCTTTTATGATTATTTGCAAATATTTATTTTATTCATATGTATCGAAAATCTACGTATCGGTATCGGTATCGGTATATACCGATACAGTATAACGATAACAAAAAACGCAGTAATCTGTTACTTTCTTGATCCTAGCAATTTGTCGTCTTCGTTTACTAACATTAGCGTTAGTATAACGTTAACGTTAATATCTCTGTTCGTTATACGGGTACGCAAAACGTTATAAAAATCAATATTTTCCTTTTATGCATGTTATTTAGTTGCGTACTCTTCTTCAATTCACTTACCAGTTTCAAGTATGATATTGGAAGTGTTTCATCATAAAGTTGTTGCTCTTCTTGAAAGAAATTCCATTCTCGTTGATTTCTGTTTTACAACAACACCAAAGAATTAAAGAGATTAATGAAAAAAATAAAAGGATCTTTTTAATTAGCGTTAGCGTTAGATGATCCCGAACTCGAGTTTCACTGTGTAGAAAGTAATGAGAACAATGATAGAAGAACAAATTATAATTCCTTCCCACCCGAAAACGTCATTTGGAGTCAACAAGTACAATTCCTAGTCATATGTTACAATAATTACATCAATTACGTATAATGTTATCATTATCGTTATACATGTAAATACAAAATTTAATCCGTGAATATGATAGAATAGGGTATACATGTATTCACGGATTAAATTTTGTATTTACTTCTCAGTAAAGAAGTTCATCCATTTTATAAAATACAAATGTTTGATGAACTTTGGATGGTATATACCATAGTCATGTACGTATTATAAAACCAAAGAATTTTTTGTGCGGCCTAATATAAAACTTTGAAGCGTAATTTTTTAAATTCTTAGTTACTTATGAACTTGGTGTCCAATGCTACAATTACTATCGACAAGTAAATGTCCAATTATTGGGACAGAACATTATCTAACGAACAAGAAGTTTTACCAAATCCTGAAGAACTACCAATTCTGCTGAATCTTTTAACAAGGACCGCTCGGAGAATCTGTGTAAGGTTTTGCTTTTGTAAATCAAAGTACAACGAACCTTTCGATCGTATTAACAATTCACATCCAGAAATCGAAATTTCTTGTGTAAATATTTTGACGGAAACAGAGTTTTTTGATGTGAAATTTGAGGGTAGCAATATCGATGAATTTGTTGATGTCGAATTTGACAGCAAACATTCAGTATGGGTTCATTAAGACGAAAGTAATAATTATCTCCTCCTAAAATATTTTTGTGTATTGCTAGTCTAAAATACATTGTGGCGTTGAGGGTCATAACGATAATACATATTCCAACCTGGGTAAAATTTTGCGATTATAAACAGGTTTGATAATTAAGTTTTATCTATTTAACTTGCGATTACGCAAAATTCTACTATTATATAGAGCATAAAATTAAATAAATATTATGAGACAAAGGTCACTAGTGTCTTAGTATTTCCAAATGAGTTGGCATAGAAGAATAGAAGCAGAATAATTCATGCCTTGACTTTTTGAAGATATAATGTCTTAGAGACATTTTAGGTGAAATAATTATTTATTTAAAATCTTTTTTTAAAAAAACTCACCACCATTACTTTCGCCGGGGACTATAGCAAATTCAAAAAAATTGTTGCTTACTGAGATGAATTAAACTGATGTGAATGCTGATTTTTAGAGGTTTGCAACTGAAATGGTTACAAATATTTTATAAATTATTCAATTTATAAAGGTTATAAATTCGAGAAAAAATAATTTTTGGCCAAGTTTGCCTGTTTCTTCTATACGATTTGTAAAAAGCGAGCCAGTAATTGAAGTACATCAGGAAAATCTGTTTGTGATAAGCCATTTCTAAATTCTTGAGAGCTGCAACCTTTTCTTAATCAAAAATATAAAAATTTGAACAAAAAAGCAATTATAATATGGTGCATAACATCAATAATACAAAATTTCATCGTGATAGTCTTTCTTGATCATATTCACGGATTAAATTTATCGTTATTGAATTTATAAATCGTTATGCACCATAGCGATAGGACTCAAAAACAGATTTATTACACATAATGCATTCATGTTCAAGAAATTGAAACATCCTATATATAATATTCTACAAGTAACTATTCGTTTTCATTCATCAATGTATTATTATCTGTATATATTATAAAAATGGTTGAAATGTTGATAATGAAAAGGCTGATCAAATAGCAAAATTTCCAATAATTTATATGATGAAATGTTTAAAAGAATTTCGAGTTTTGCTATTTCAAAGTTTTAAAACTAAATAACTACCAATTCGAATAAATTTCTTCAAAATTAAAAGATT